ACAATGGTACTAATAGTCTATGTTGCACGAAACTTCTAAAATGCAGCATTTTGCTTTCTGTCCACGTTTCGGAAACCGAAGCTCTTCTAAAACTCAAGGAAACATTTTGGAAACTCAAAAAATTAACTTCCCCATGCAGCCTAGCCAATTAACAACCAAAGGCATAGCTTAAAACTCTCACCAGTAAAAAATCTAACCTGCAAATCAGCTGAAACTTCAACATCACTGATAGTAGTGAGTGAGGACAGATATCTATCCGCGCCCAAAGCTGCTTCGGGCAAAACCGCATATTGCAAAACCTTGTCAGTGAGTAACATATCAGAAAGCTCTCTCCTAATTTGCTTCGCCACCATTTTCACTCTCCTAGGGTTCGCCATACATTTGATAATAGAGTTCCTGCCATAGCAAGTGCTGGGGCCAATAATCCGATGCGGCGGACGCAGGAGAGGCATAAACGCAATTGGGTAAATCCATGGTGTGGATCTTCTAGAGGTTGGAATTGAACATGATTTTGTGATGATTGGATTGTGTATTAAAAGGTTCGACATTACAGACCTTACGAGAGGGTGGATTTTGTTCAGAGGGAGGGAACTAGTATTTATCCGTTTAGTTGAATGAGGGTATTTTTGGAAATTCAGAAATTGCCCTTGATTTAAGTTTATTAGAAATTTAACACTTCTTTTAGCCCCATTTTTGCCATAAAAATATATTTTTGAATAGTATATTGATGTAAAATGTGTGGTTAAAATATAAAAAAAATTTAAATTTACGTGTAATATTGTTTTATTGAAGAATATATTATAAAAATGATATCAAAATACTATTTAATAATACATTTTTTCTAAATAATAGGACTCAAACAAGAGCATAGGGCCTATTTGATACCTCCAGTTTCCATGGAAAATGGAAATTTTTTTCACCCGATTTGTGTTGTTTGATGACCAAAATTTTCTGTGAAATTACTTTTCCACTTCTCCATCACATGATGCCATTTTCTTGGTTTTTAAGGAATTCCAATTCCTTTGGTTTTGGTGAAAATTGGATTTTTCATTTTTTTTTGCAATGAAAACAAATTTTATCTACAATTGTGAAAAAATCTATCAATTTAGTTGACAATTTTCATGAAAAATAAAGCCAGAAGAATATCAGGAGGTTCAAAATTTCAACATTTTCCATGTGAAAAATTACAATAATCAAATACATTTAGCCCCTGTTTGAGCCACATTTTTACCTCATTAAAATGAAAAATATGACCGTTATCCATCACATCAAGTCACCTTTTTAAATTTCTATCTCTGGTGTGGGGCCCATAACGACTCTATTTCTCATTCTCATTCTCATTATAATGTGGCTCAAACAGTCTCTTAATTGACAAATCTCAATAAAACAAGTTCTACGCAATTCAATTCCTTTAAAATCATTTTCTTTCCACCTAAAAGTGCGAGACGAAGTAGAGTACGAATCTTCCGTGACTTTTTGCTTAGCTAACTATCACGTGACTTACCTTATAGATCGAAGCTTAACACAAATGTAAAAAATTGCATCTTAATCCAATCTATTGCCACTCTATCATACATATTTTTGCTTTTTGACATAGACAATACCAAACATAATCAATAACTCTACAAAGATTTAATTGACGAAAGTTTATTAGAAGTATTACGCATGGGCGTCGGCTGGATTGGTACAAGTATTTCAATACCTTGAATCACCAATTATTATGATATTTCGTAAATATAACTTTTTGGGTTCTCATAATTATTAGAACTGACCTCGAATCGTAGATTCTGGCTCGGAAGGTTCTATACATAACAAAAAAATAAAAAAAAGTTCAAATTGACAATACAAATTTTAGCAGAAATATAAGAAATAAAATGTCTCCAAATATATATTCAATATTTTTTTAATCCACTATAAATAAGTCACCAAACAACATCCAATATCTTCCATAGTAGCACACGCCATATATTCTCTAGTAAAATACGCCACCAAACTACATACCCAAAGAACAAACCAAAAACTAGAACAAAAAAAATAAGAAAATACTAGATTCTACAATCCCATCGATTCCTTTGCATCCAATCTTTTCATTGAGTCATGATGAATAAATTATAAAAAATAAATAGATTATATAAAAGGTTAAATTCAGTTCTAGAATTGAGTACCCATAGTCACGGTTTGAGAACCAAGAACCATTTGGGACTCAGTTGATGCTCGATTTTTCTTTTGTTCTAAAATCGATGATTTGGTTTGGGAGGTTGGATTCCTATAGGAATACCCACCCCTAAAAGGAATTTAATTGCTGACGATGACGGTTTATCTAATTAGATACCGTCCATATTTGACAAAAACCGAAAATGTTCTCATTTAATAAAAAACTCATATTTCATAAATAATCTGAAAATCTATTAAGTATTGATTCATCTTAAAATAACATTTTTAAGATACTTAATAAAATCTCATAATAACGTGCCACACATGTTGAATTTAGATCAGCCATAAAAAACTTCATGGTTTGGATAAAAAAATGATTCCTAAACAAGTCTGCTTTTCACTACTTCTTGATCGATCCATTCTAGAGAAAGTGCTGCCTTTCGAGAATACAACCAGCCTAGCCATCAATTTAACGACAAAGAGAAACTCGTTCCCACGACTAGATCAACGCCGTTGCCACTACCACCAAGCCGATAATCAAAAAGAGAAAAAGAAAAGTGAATACCTTAAAAAAATGGCGTCAAAATATTCCACCACCAACGCCTATGAAAACCCTAAGGCTGTCCCACGCCCATATAATTTGTTTTAGGTAAATTTCTTTTAGGGAAAATTTCATATTTAAGAGATTAAGTGTGACTTATTTCAAAATTAAGAAATAAGGTTTAAAACTTCAAAAATAAGAAATTAATTAAAATTTATTTATGAAATAAGTAATTAAAAATATATTTTATTAACTAAAATATTAATTTCATAATTCTATACTATTGGGTCACACATTATTGAATTAATTGCTCACAAATTATTTCTCGATCATGAATCAAAAATTTTATAGGTCACAAATTATTTCACGATTACAAATGAAAAATTTTATTTGTTACAATTTATTCATCGATCAAAAATAAAATAAAAAAGTATTTCACAATTTTTTTATAGGTTACAAATCACAAATTTTATAAGTCACAATTCAAATTTTTAGATCACATATTATTTATTCGTCACAGTTATCGATTATAAAATCATCTAATTTATTGGTTATAATCTCAAATAATTGGTCACATATTATTTATTATTTACAAATTAACCAATTTATTGATCATAATCGACCAAATAATTGATCACAAACATCTCGTCCCCACCCCACCTCACGCCATCCCACCCACAACCATCGCACCACCATCACCGTCATTGCCTACCACTACTACCTTACTAGCATCGTCAACATCACCACCACAGTGGCACAGTCAACGTCACAACCATCGCCACAACCCAAACATCACTAAAAAATCAAATCCAAAATTATCAATCACTGTCGTGACCACCATCATCTCACCAACACCGCCAACAACAATACCAGCGAAACACCACCAACCCAAAAACTCCATATTTTCCCCAAATAGTGCAACGACTACTGTAGCATCGTCGCTCATATCACGCACAACGTCGCAGAAAATCGACACAGCTATCACCATTGCAACCTCACCACCACCACCACAAAAAAAACACTCCAAAATCATATCTAAAATAACTACACGACTACTGCAAAATAAGATCTAAAATCACTGTACAACCATCAATCGCAAAACCAGATCCGGTTGACGATGGCGGCTGTCTAGCAACGATGACCACTAGACTCTGAGCGCAATGGCGACTACATTATTATCGCTGTTGCATCGACGATGATCGCTGCGCACGCAACAATGCGTATGCTTCGAGGATGAAATGGAGGGAAAGAGAGAGTAGAGATAGAGGTGCTCTCCAGCGTGGTATAGCATCTGTGGATAATGGAGGGAAAAAGAGAATGGAGATAGAGAAAGAGAATGGAGTGATCACTACCATGTACCACCAAGAAATAAGAAACCATCTCGTCGCCTATCTCCATCTTCAACACCAATGTGGCTCCACTGCCACTATCGCACCACCATCCAGTCAAACCCTCACACCCACCACAAAATTAATTTCTAAAATTTAAAATAAAAATCTTGGATTAAGCTCTTTGAAATTCTCAAGATTTAAATCCAAAATGAGATCTGATTTTTAGAACTTGATTCATAAATGAAATTAGTTCCACGTCATGGGCACTGGTGGACCCACGTGGGATCATGTAGGGTCAAGTGACCGCACAAAAAATTTTGAATTTTTGTTATTGTTGTTGCCTTTTACGTAGTGCTCCAAAGAGAGTGATGAAACCTTATTTGAGCTAGGAGTTATCTGCAATGATTGGGTACTTCTATTTGTGTCTGCTGTGAATATATAAATTATAAAATGTTAGCATAACATCAAGACAAGCAAGCAATTTAGTGATAATACTTGAAAAGAGGAGATTAGAAGAAAAAAATAATAGTTGAACAAATGATAAAGTAGAACAGCAGCACCTTGGTTAATGAGAGCATGACCATCATTTTGTAGTGAAAAAAGGCCTGCTTGATACACAAATCAGATTCATTATATGCAGAAATAAAACAAGAATACAGAAGAATCTTTTATTTTAATTTTAGCAACTGAAATGATTATAGTGATTATAAGTCCCTCTCTTTTTCAGAGATAGAAGAATTGATTTCTGGTATCATAAGGAAGCCAAGCATGATTGCTGGATGATAAAAGAGTACCCCTGCCCTTACCCTATCACCTAGGTTTGTGAGGTAATTGTCGAGCTATAATTGAGGCTTGTAAAAGGGTACTGCACCGTTGTAAATGCTATTGGAGTGCCAGGCAAGGCTAGAAGAAGACGTTCGAACGCCAATGACTCAAGCGTCCGCCCTCGGTCATGAGCAATTGTAAAAAGATTTGATGGCAACGACAATGGAAAAGTGGAAGGAATATGTGGTGGTGCCGCAGTGGTAGTTTTTCTAGACAACGGTGTTCGATGGTGGTCGATGGTGATGGCAATTGTTTGAGTGTTTTGGTTGATGGTGGTGTGGTGAGTGTGTATTATTTTTATTATGCATGTGTATTCTCAAAAAAAAAAAAATGTGGTACATTTTTAATTTAAAAATAGTACTAATACAATTTGAATTTTAAATTTAAAGAAAGTGAATAGTATATTTTCACTAAAAATAAATAGCTCATTTAAATCTATTAAAGCCTAAACCCCACTAAGGCCTATCCCACCTTTTAAAGATTGAAAATTTCATATTTAAGAGATTATGTATGATTCATTTCAAAAATTAAAAAAATAATATTTAAAATTTTATAAATTAGAAATTAATTAAATTGTAATTGTGAAATAATTAATTAAATATATATTTTTAAATTAAATATATATGATCACAATTTTTATAATTTAATAAAAAATTATTTATCAATCACAAATCAAAATTTTATATATCACAGGTTATTTCACGGTAACAAATAAAATTTTTTATAGTTAACAATTTATTCATCGGTCACAAATAAAAAATGTATCGATCACAATTTATTTATTGATCAAAAATCACAAATTTTATAAGTCACAACTTATTTAATGATAACAAATTATTAAATTAATTAGTTATGTTATTTTTCGATCATAATTTAATAAATTATAAGTCACAATTACTTATTTTAGATTACATATTATTATTGATAATAATTTAACCAATTTGGTCACAATCAATCAAATATTGGTTACAAACACCCCACTCCATCCCATCCTATCCACGACCACGACCACGACCACCATGATCACAACCAACATCACCTTCACTTCACTAGACCGCCAACATCATCTAATCACAACAGCCAACATCACAACCACCACCACTTAAAGGCCACCAAAAAATCAGATCCAAAAATTGCACAACCAGGCCGTGACTTCGTGGCAACAGCGATGCAATGCCACAACCACCACCAACTTATCGGACCGCCAACATTACAACCAGCTCGACAACACCTTTTTCTCCTATGAGGGGGTTATGGGTCTGTGAGCCAGCACTGCGAGAGGAAGAGGCATACGAGGATATGGAATGGAGTTAGAGCTGGAATTGGAATTGGAGTCCGAGACTCCGAGAAGTGCGAACGAGAGTGAGAAATAGAACGTGAATGTGAGCGGGAAGAGTTCAAACTTGATCTGGGCGGCGACGCGCAGTAGCCTCGATCTGATTTTGCCATTGAATCTAGTGGACTTTCAAATGCAGTGTAGAGAGTCTAAACCCGCTTGATTAACCCTAACCAGAGATAGAGAGCAAAAGAAGGGACATTTAATTAGAGTTTAGTGGATTAATTGATTTTATAATATTATTATTAATACTAAAAATTTGAATTAAGATCCAATTTTTGTATAAACAAACTTTAAATCTAATTTTTGAATTATGATCTCGAAAATTCTGGTTGTATGTAATTTTCAGTTTTATAAAGCCATTATAATTTAATTAAAATTATTTACAAAATGGGGTGGTTACAAGATTTCTCTATTAATATGATATTTTCCCAAGTTTAAGGCAAATACACAAGTCCATGAGAAAATTTGAAGTGCAAGAACGAAAAAATATTAGCAGGAAGAATAGAAAAAAAAATCTCTTAAGTCCAAACTCAAAAATTTCAAGAAGATCAAAAACTTCCTCAAGTACAATCGAAACAAGTTCCAAGTCCCGGATATAAAAGTTTTATTCAAATCAAATCCGATTTAAGTCCTTTTGAACATCCAAGCAAATCAAACTTTCAACAAATTTCAAAGTCTATGATTCAAGTTACGTGACCTCGCATCTTTAGCACTCAATTCGTTAATAAAAGAATTGTGCAACAACACGGCCATAAGAGGTTATACACTTCAGATGCACAAGGATTCAATTTGTATACAAAATTTATATTTTTTAATATACAAAATTTGCCATGATCTCGAAATTTGCAATTTAGAAATTAGCATGTGGATCCTTTCGGACAAAAAATGTCCTAAATTTTGTTTTAATTGTTAATTGGTATTTTCAAATTGCACAACTTAAATTTACGCCAACGTTTGATAAATTTAAAAATCAAATTATAAAGATGACGAGCATTTTTTGCAGCATGTTTTGACAATGGCCTTTTATGAGCAGCCCAAACAGAACAGACTCGTAAAATCCACAAGCTGTGCTGACTCAGCACATTGACAAATTTCGAACCCTAGTCATCCAGGGTCCATGGGCTAGCCTTATTGAGCTGGTCCAATAGGCTCACAAGAAGTTAAACTCATTGTCACTCTAAGTCAGCCACCTCCAATTCTTCAAAAACAATTAAAAGAATAAAATACGAATCATCACAATCTTCATTTTTCACAACCTCCAACTATTGCGGCCACCATCCTCTCTACTGTCAGTAACCTCCACTGTCAGTAAAAACAAATAAAAGGTGATTGAAGCCCCCACAAGCATAGTGCAGTGGTAAAACAGGAGGATTCTATATGAAGTATCGGAGGTTCGAATCTCTGCGACAGCTGGAAGTAACATTTATGTCCGAAAGCAGTTGTCCTGTAGAGGCAAGGTTATGGTGCGCTTTATCGTCTCTATGAGAGTCCTATCCGCACGAGTAAAGGTAGGTCTATAGGGAGGAGAACTGCATCCCGAATATCCGACCTAAGTGTGTATAAGTGGTGATCGCATTCGAATTTACCTAGATGGCGAACTAGGGGAAAACTGCCACTCTTCAGGATTAGTCAGGAGAAGTTTAGACATCTGAGTTATAAAAATAAAATAAAATAATAATAAATAAATAAAAGGTAATTGAAACTGGATTTAGCTAGTCGAGTCACTTCTAGAAAAGCCATGAAGATATAACTTATTAGATGACATTATAGAGGACAATTATGTTAGATGATAAACTTATTGAGAGACATGATTAATCAAGTTGTCAAGGTCGTCTCTTTTTCAAGAAAGAAGTGGTGGTAATGTTCCAAAAATTGTTTTGGATAACGGGTTGTGGAACAATTAATTTTGTAGCCAACACCACCCACCTAACTTAATGACATTTGACTGGATAGCTCAGCCATGACTTGGGCCAATCGACTTGACCCTGCAAACTCTATTGATAAGATCTCAATTTTCGACTTTCAAATAGGGCCCTTTCTTTCATTTTGAACTTGAAATGAAACTTCGTTTATTGCAGTCCCATAAATATGGGTTAATATTCCATTGTCGTCAAGTAATAACGTGCACAGTGTAAAATAGTCTTGATAATTTAAAGGTCTTAATTTGACATAAAATGAATTGACACTTGATCAAAATTGATTCAAACTAATCGAAATTGTATTATATACTAAACACTTCACAAGTATATAAAGTCATAATTCCAATATCAATTAAACAAAAACAAAAGATTAAACAAACTCTAAGCCGGCTTCTATTTATTATGTCTTTGACTTTATATATTAATAGAATGGTAAAATTCACGAGGCAAAATGTTTAATTTAATTCAATGAAATGAGTAAAGTTGTCTATATTAAGGATGAGTATAGTTATTGCCTTCACTAATACAAGACACTTTTCCATCCATCAATGCACGAACAAAATTTAGTTTTTTCTAGGAGTGTAAGCGGTCTGATTTTACCGATTTTTGACAAATTTTCAAATCAAATCGTTTAAAACGGTTTGAGAAAAACCCAAACCCAAACCAAACCAAACCATTTTGAACGGTTTGAAAAAAACTCAAACCTAAACCTAACGGTTTGGTCCGATTTTAAACCGTCCATTTCGCCATATATTTTTTTGTCCATCTACTTTTATGTCATTAATTCATTGAATTTAATATATATTTATATCTCATTAGTAATAAATTTAAAACAAACTAAGCCCCTATTTGAACCAAATTTTTGGGACAAAAAAATGAAAATTTGGATCGTTATTCCACAAGTCTAGCCGCCTTTGTTGACTTGCTATTTCATGTGTGGGACCCAACCTCCTCTCCAATAGTCAATTTTCTCATTATAATGATATGAAAAATATGGTTCAAACAGAGGCTAAATATATCAATTAAAAATTTATATATTAATTAAATCAAAGTGAAATCATAATAAACTAAAATATAGTTTTTTTTTTAAAATTTTTGTTCACCTTTTTTAGGTTAATGACGATACAATAATGTTACAATACAAGTCTACAAAACTAGATATAAGGTCCAAAAAAATAATGATATCCAACAAGATCTCGTGATCATCATATCTGAAAAAAAATATTGTTAAACAAAGAGAATAACCAACTACAATAATAAAACAATTGTTTATAATATCTAAACATAACAATTATACAAATTTACGTTTGTATGATATTACGAAACACATTTAATTTCAGATTCTTACCTTAGTTTGCTCTAAAAAATTATTGATCTGAAACTTTATTTGAAGCAAATATTATCATCGAAGGTCTAGGATCTTTTTGTCTCCGATTTGGTATAATGGACTTCAATTCGACTTTGAAGAGGTGTGAAAAATCTGAAAAAAAGTGTGTGGTGCCGGTGGCTCAAAACTATGTTGGGTGTCGATTGGAATTCATCTAAATTTTGAAGAGAAAAAAGACTTTTGATAGATTATGTTAGTCTTAAAATTATTAAATATATATTAGGATTATTGGATGATGATTATGATGATGATGATGATGATGATGATGATAATAATAATAATAATAATAATAATAATAATAATAATAATAAATCTGTATTAGAAAATTAGGAATTAATAAAAATACCCACAAATGACAAAACTATGAAATTTTACATATTTGGATGATTTTTCAAAAATTTTCATTTTTTCATTTTTTATTTTTATATATTTTTTCGCTGGTCCGGTTTGATTTTAAACCGCAATTAAAATTCTCAAACCTAAACCAAACCATTTTGACCGATTTGATTTGGGTCAAAACCATTTCGTTGACCGGGTCTACATGGCACCAAATCTACGATTTCTAAAATGCGATTTCGATTCGATTTTCTGGTTTTTGCTTACAGCCCTATTTTTTTCTTCTTTCTTTCTTTCATTTTTTTTTTTCTTTTTTTTCGTTTTCAATATCGTTTATATTCGTCAAATTCACCTTACGAATTCGAAAGTATTATTCAACATTCAATAATTCAATCACTGGACATAATTTAGTCTTTCCTTAAACATCAAATTCTTTCTCAGGTTGTAAGGAAAACAACTCTGGAAAAAGAATTCAAAACTTTTTACAAATTTAACCCAGAAATATTCATGGGTTTTCTTTGGTCTGGGACTTGAAAAGTCACAAGAAAAATACAAACACCCACCCGAATGGAAAAATGATCAAACTACTGTGAAGAAAGATGTTAAAAAAGAGAGAAGCAGACAGCAATTCTGAGCGTCATCTTGATCATCTCTCTCTAACAACAACAGATGTGTATTACGAATCGTCGTGTCGTTAGATTTGACAAAGTTTGGCACTGATTGATCATCAACCCACATCCTTTACCCGGGCTTGGGACTGACTATGAAAAAATAGGCCCGTATTATCTGATCATCGATGTTAGAGATCGAAAAGCGACTTCTTCACAAGGGATAGTGAGTCCCATTTCATGATCAAATCCAAACTCTTCTTCTGCACGTTGGAGAAGACACTGAAACTCAGGATGAGTCAAAAATGAAATGGGAACAATATATCTGCTTCTGTATTCTCCAACATAAACAGCAAAATGACCTTTTGGGACATCAAGTGGAAGACTATTTTCATCAAACCCATGTTTCTTGCCTAAACTTGAACATCTTTTGAGAATTTGCTTCAAAACTGCAGGTTGTGGCAGTTTGTTTGGTTTTCTAATAGCCATTTTTTTTCTTGGAGTTCTAGGGCAAGAAATGGATGAATAAGTTTGAAGGGAAACGGAGAGGAGTTGGTGAGGATTGAAGGCGTGTGAATGGGGATATATACGAAAGTTTTAGGGAAAATTACGAAATTGGTCCTTAATGTATCTTAGCAGTAGTAAGTTGATTTTCGACATTTTTTTGGGTTCTATAACGAATTCTAAATTACGGAAACTGTCTAAATCTCATTCTACTGTGGCATGATCCTCATAAAAGAATGTTGGAGTTCAAATTTCTGAGTGTTGATCCAAGTTGTGAAACATTGATTATTTGTCATAGTGATGGATCGTTTTCGTCACCAAAACTAATTGTACATTTATAGTGAAAGGTTGATGACCGATTTGCTAATGAAACAATACTAAGTTGGGGCAAGTGGTGCAAATTTCCCAAGTTTTTCGTGACGGGTTGGGTCAAAAGACAGACCACAGGCGGTGTTTAGGGCTGTTTTAAATTGTTGCAAGGACAATGTGGGTCGATACCCATAGGCAGAACTTATGATGTTGGTCCTCTAAATGAAATACATATGGACCCTATTATTTGTGTCTAAACATGAATTGCCCTTATCAGTTTTTTCTTTTCTTTTCTATTTTTTTTTTTAACCTAAGTTCAGTGCTTGGTTTGTTTTTCATCAAGCAAGTTAGGCTAAGTGTGAAATGTTTACTTACTAGCCCTCTTCGGAATTTGTCAAAAGTCGACATAAAGGTTTTCTTGATATTAAGACAATTATTACTTTAAATTAAGTAACTTTTTTCACGACACAACATTTATAAGCACATTTTCTTGAACTCGGCCGACGACAATAAAATTAGTTTACTGTTAATAAATTAAGCATCAATTACGCAAACCCTTTTTTGTTAGTCCATTCAGCTAGTTAGATCTTATATCTGCAACAAATCATGTTAAATTTAATCTACTTATCTTTATCCTAACTTATTATATTGAGATCAAGTCACTATAATAAAAATAGCCTCTTCACATTTACGCAAGACGTGATTTAACCATATATACGATCTTTTCTTTAATTTTTTTCCTTGCTAATCAAATATTCAAAACAACTAAATATATATTAGCTTATTAATGAATCACAACAAGAAACCAAACTAATTCTACTTCGTCCATGTGACAAGTAACCTATTTCGCTATGATCGCATTGCTATTAAGAATCAAAGCCTCTTTACACCTACAAAAAAACATAACATGACTATATATTCTGTTGTTTCAATAATTTGTAATTATTGGACCCTAGTTTAGTTTTTCTTGATAGAAGAATGTATTGGTACATATGTATCAACGTTCAAGCACAAAATCCTCTTTATGTTGTAGAAGAAATAAACCCCTCTCGGTCGAACTTGTTGCACCAGGCTTGCCTAATGCGGTTCACCTGGTTGGCGTGGTTTGTAGACTACTGCGTCAGCCTGAGGGTTTATCCAGTGCGCACTCGAATGGTAGCGGTTGCAGATTCCTCCGTCATAAAAAAAGAAAAAAACCCCTCTCTTCATCGTAGCCTCAAACTTCAACTTTCAAGAAATGAAATCAATTTCAAGTTTCCAACATCATGTTTTCAACTGTACTTGTTTCCGTTGCCAACAGTAATCTAAACCCAAATTGAGTTACTGGAACATAATTTTTCCATTGACAATTCATGAGCGAAATAGTACATACTACGAATAAATAACATTATGCAACTGATATTATGGATATTTTTCGTACAAATTGGGGCTATTCATTTCCTTATTAAAAAGTAAAATTGGTTACAACAACAGCCGCATCACCACCACTGCCACCACGCAACATAAGAAAAGTTGTTTTTCTTTGTGGGGATCCACCCCGGAGAAGTTGAATATGCATGTTCTAAGGCTGAGAAAACCATCTAAGCCCTTGTTTGGTGTAGCTAAAAGTCCGATATTCAGTAGACATGGGTAAAAATTCATGAAATGTACCGTTCAAAAGTTAATATATTATAAGTCTCATGAAATGTGTAATTAAAATAAATTATTATCTTAACTTAAATTTTTTATCAATTTAAGTTGCAGCAAACCTGGGCTAAGCATTGATTATATATGCTTTGGCATGCGCTTTGTCATTTCGTTTTATTGAAGTATACCCTAAAGTCCCAGTACACACAATCCCCACAATCTTCATAGCCATACATGTATCAATCATAGAAAGTGATGTTAATAGCTGCACTACTAACATCCAACAAACATGTTTGAGCTCGTTCTAAGAATTTGTTTCGAGTTGTTTGATGAGATGAACTGTAGAATACTTGCCGTCATCGATAAAAAGAAGTAACAATATTGTCTAGCCCTTCTTAATACTGCATACTAAGTACATTATTGTGCTCCTCGCTCATTCTCCCTCGTTTCCTTCAAACTCCAATACATATTTCTGCAGCAAATTAGCTAAATTTAAACCAGCTTAACCTAATTAACTGACTTTTCTCATACTAAAGGGATATGGTCTTTCAACATTCCCATGTTCAATAAATAAAATTGGATAAGAATTGACCAATCAAAGGGGGGAGTGGCCCCTCAATTCTCGCCTAAATTGAGCAGAAAACTACATAATCAACTTCATTTCCCATTTTCATTTGATGGTGACTAAGCATTCCCCATTGCATTGAATTCCATGTTACTTTCCCCCTCAAACCATAAATCATTTAAATCTTGAAAGCCCAGTAAGGCACAAAAGTGAAACAACTCTAATTGAGTCTCGTTCGCAATAAATTTAGGATCGACTACATGATATATAATTTATTTGTTGGGTTCATCACAAAAGATCTAATGAAACCAGATCCTTAACTTCTAATGTTCTACCCCTCCCCATCTTCTTCATTGAAATCAAGTCACTCTTGGCTTAACCATGTTATTAGTTACGCATATTTACAAATAAATTGAGGCTGCAATGTTATCATGACATTAAAAATAAGAAAAACTGGTCATAGGCTCATAGCTAGAGGTGTAAACTTGTGCCAGGCCTACAACTTTCACATTTTCTTGAGTTTATTTATTTAAATACAGCCGAGAGAGACTGTCCCCACCGGGCTTTATTGCTCGATGCATTTTGACACCTCTAATTCTAGAGAGTATAACATAGAGGAAGGAGCCACTGTCATGTCAAAGCATTACGGGTCCTTTACTTAGACAAAAGAAACAACTCAGCAGACATTGCGGGTCACTTGAGCTGGATTACCAGAAGCCCGGGTCTGAAATATATATTAGTTCAAAGATATATATAAAACAAAATGAAATTATACACATAAACCATATTTGAAGCAGGAGAATGTGCAGGATTATATCACATGGTCCACAAAATATTTGAAAAGAATTTGACAGATTTAAGGATAAGGATTCAGACCTGGTAGGATCCAAACAAGGGTATGAGTAAATCAAATTGGATGTAGGAAGTAAATGAAATTTAAGTTTAACGAAAAAATAATTTGAAAGTAATTCAAATTACATTTATTCCGTAACGATTTTAGAATTTTTGACATCATTTTTAATGTAAAATTTCATAATAAAATGATGTAAATTATATTGGAAAATTTATCGTGGAAAAATAATAAATGTTAATGAAATAATTGATTTTTTTTTTAAAAAGACGAGTTAAACGCCTCTTTTAATACGTACATTTGATACATATTTAACTATTTTCGATATCTGTTTAGACCATTCGATATGACTACGATGTAGTTTTCGTAACGAACTTCTAGATAATGCAAGCGATTTGTAGATTTAAATAGTATACGATCATCAGCAAATTTTAAAAGTTAGCATATTATTGAAATTTTCGAAATACTAATTTAGAATGGCCTACTTTGATACATTGTAATTTTTGCTATGGTTGATCATTTTGCACACTATTAAGAAGCGAAAAATTAGGCCATCAGTGCTTAGAAATGATATTAAGAATGCAATATTTTGATTTCATTTGGTATGTATTAAAGTGGGTCGAAAACAAGTTTAAACAACTGTTTTCCGAAAAAAATAAAAATAAATAAACCCCACACGACCCAAGCGGATTCGCCCCTGACATGATATGTATAGAATATTACCATCTGTGGAACAGCTCTTAAACCACCTAAAAGAGAATTATTTTACATTTGATGCGTGTCCTGACATAAGAAATCCAATGTAAGCAAGATTTTGGACATCCTTCCACAAACAAACACGAAGGCGGCAAAAAGGGATAAATTTACGAGACAACAACAGATGTATCTCCTGAATTTTTTGATCAATATCAGTGGTGGATACAAAAAAATATTCAGAACGGACTGACACATTAAAAAAAAAAAAAAAACATCACACATAATTTTTTTTCCTTTTTTTACTTAAATCTTTCTTTTTAATTAGCATTTGGACTTGAGGGACGGGCTCTAGCACAGCCCGACCCGTCCCTAGATCCACCCCTGAATATCATAGACATCCTCTCACATTTGAAAACCACACTAACGTCCCCTATTTCTAGTTTTGAGCATCACATAACCACTTTTGAGCTATATATCATTTAAAATGATGTTGATATACCTAAGATGCTATTGTGAAAGAAAAAAAAGGATTGAATTTTTCTACAATTAGTTGCAATTTAATTTGTTCCAACTAATAATAAATTAATACAGATTTTGAGCATACATAATTTTGAATATGCATGCTAGTGAAAATTTCAACCTAAAATTTGTTGAAATATGATAATAAATAACATCAATTTTTTTTTAAAACTAAAATTTGTTGAAATATGATAATAAATAACATCAATTTTTTTTTTTAATATTAGAATGCCCAAATCAAATTTTTTTTTTAATTTTTTTTATCTAAGTGATACTTATTTAACTCCTATTTAAAAGAGACTTCTCTTGGAATGTTTTAGTAATATTCTAATGTGGGATACTAACTTTTTAAAGGATTCTTCTATTCCAATGATTTAGTTATCTTTCAATGTGGGATACTAATCATAATCATTTGTCAATTCTAAGTGTTTACTAGTTTACTTTATTATTTTCATTAAAAATACTAGCATCAATAAGATTTTAATTATAAACAATATCAATTTGAAAATTTTATTTATTTTTTTCATTAAAAATCATAGCTTCAACAAGATTTTAATTATTTATTTTAAAAAATATTTGAACTATCTTGATGGGCTTACTTATTATATTAGAAGGCCCAACTCAATTTTTTTTATTTTTTTATCTAAGTGATACTTATTTTAACTCCTATTTAAAAGAGACTCATCTTCGAATGTTTTACTGAGATACTAACTTTTTAAAGGATTCATCTCTTCCAATGATTTAGTGATCTTTCAACATGGGATACTAATCATAATCATTTATCAATTCTAGGTGTTTACTAATTTACTTTATTATTTTCATTAAAAATAATAGCAGCAATAAGATTTTAATTATAAACAATATCAATTTGAACAAAGTAAATTATTTTGGACATATTAATTGTTAGTTTTTTATGTTATAAAACAGATTACTATAGTAAATCTAATCAGCAAATTAATTATTAGTTTTATCTTATTTTAATTAATAAAAAATAAATCTCTTCAAAAATTTCAATTAAAAATATTATACTATTAAATAATACTATTTATTCTTTAAAAATTATGTGTAAAGTATAATACAATTTTCAAAATAGAAAAAATAGTGTCATAAATTATGCAATAATATAAAAAATATAACATATTATTATTTTAAATCGGATCATATTGGATTGACCTATATTCATATTTGATTCATTTAGTTGACGGATTATCGGATTTGGATCTCAATCGGCTTATCAGATTGAGACTTTAAATGCATCTCCCATTAATTTTATCGGATTCAAATCAAAATCCAATTCATTGACAGCCCTAGCTCTCGGTAGGGAAAAATAATGGGGAATAAAGATAGAAATTGAAGAGATTTGAATAAGATTGAAGTAGTTTTATTAGATAATTTAATAGTTGTAATTTTACTAAAAATTCTTTTAGATTCAATCTCTTTCCTTTGTAAGTAGATTCGATTATATATTGAATAATGATTATTTGTTCTCCATATTCTTCTCTGTTGTCCCCCATTTTCTCTCTCTCACTTCCTTATTTCTATTTCTTTGTTATGTTATACAATAAGATTTCTTAATAGTGAAACTCTGTATAAGAATAACCTCCATGTAGTCAAAAAAAATTTGGTCCCATCGGATTTGTCTAGTGCGATTTACTTGGCTGGCGTGGTTTGCAAGCTATTGTGTCAGTTTGAGAGTTTACCCAGTACGCACCCAAAAAGTAGCGGCTGCGAATTCCCTCGTCATTAAAAAAAAAAAAAAAATTGGTCGCAACTTAGGTAGGCCTAGGCCAATAATAAATGAGAATAAACTACACATTGTAATAAGTTTTCTAATTTCCATTTTGAGGAACTTATCTCCACATAATAATAGTTATAGATATATTGCAAAAAGTATATGTTATATTACATCAAAGGTTTAAGACGATTCTGCGTATTTCCAACCCTACATAGACATACTGGTTTTTGGAAACAATCTCTCTTTTATGAATGTCTATACCTTAGATTTGACACGTTCTCAATTAATTATTAATGTATTTCATACTTCTATAGCTATTGCACTAAAGAAAACTAAGTCAAAAAATAATTTTTGTAACTACACCTCTATTAAGTTATAACTCCTTACAGTAATAAAATTAGTTTGATCACAATATTATGATTATAGAATAAATCTCTCTTCCACTCCATTCCCCGAACATCTCAATAAATATGGAGTTACAGGCTTAAGATCATAGCAGTCGAAAGTCTATTGGCCTGCTCTGTGCGTATGGTTTTCACATAGAGCATTCTAATTACATCTTTCCCCGCTATCCGAGCCATTGCTTTGAACATCTACTGGTACGGTATCTTGCAATGCACTAACAAGAGGAGACTCGTGGAGAAAGGTAGAATAAAGAGTCACAATGGCGCAAGTTGATGGTATTGAAGTAATTAAGATTCTAGCTCCAACTTAAAATAACAATATATTTTGAAGCAGCACGTTTAAAATTTGTTTCTTTCCTTGGTTATGGTAGATTGTGACATAAGACATCAGAAAACTTTAATACAGTGGATTTTCAGACTCTTTAGTTCACTAAAAATGTCCGAGTATCCAGATATCGAGAATATAGGAAAAGCATTTAATAGAAAAAGCTCAAGAGATATTATTTATATTAATCCTGATTTCGGAATGTGCATTTCATCCCTATTCGGGTCAATTTATCAAAAATCATTTTCAAACACATTTTACAAGATCCAAAACTTTTATTAACTTTTCAACTACATCACAATCTATTAAAAGTATGATTTTTAGCCAATCCAAATGGGGGCTGCATCAACATTATACAATCTTTGGATGGTAAAATAATTTATTATCAAAAGATATCCTAAAAAGGGTGTTTATATTTTCATCCATTCTGGTGAATTGAGAGCAAAATTTATCCAACCATGCTGCTAACTGCGAGGTGGATGGCTTATTTTCAAGCCCAAATTGAATAATCCATAAGCTGGGTCCCCATGATTTGTCCATAATATAAGTGGAGCAGAGCAACAGTCAAAAGCTTATAAGCAAACACAACAATCCAAACATATGTGCTTATTGAACACATGACATCCCCGCATATAGGCTTTTTTATTGAGTACTTGTGTTAGCTGCTGCTTCTGACGCCCCATCCAGACATCAGACATGCTCTATAACTAGCTGCTCATTTCTTACTGATTAAGAACCCTACTGAGATTTATGCAATCAGCAACAAGGACACAAAATTCAAAATATCAACTTTTTTTTCAACTCAATAATAAATACGATCTTCCAATTTCGCAAGGTGGCACCCTTTTTTTTTTTAATCAAGAAATGCATACTAAATAGTTAGTGTTTGAGAAGACGGAGCACTACATGCTGTTAAATTCTCAGAACCTTGAATAAAACCTCGAATCAGAATATTAATGCCTATAACTATGGAGTAGAGTATGTTGAAAGTGTTTTAAGAGTTCCCACAAATTATACAAAGCACTGAACTAGTATATCTCCATATATAAGAGTCGATTTGACTGCCAATTTTTCTCCTCCTTCATGAAATACATTGAAGGTTTCACGTCAAAAATGACAAAAAAAGGAGCAAAGGAATTAGTTCAATCACACATGAATTGAAACCATTGATATCTTAATCTCTTGGAATGATTAAGTTTAATAGGTTAGATTAGATGCATTGAAAATTTACACGTCAGATGCAGATTTCAGTTGTTGCTGCCCGTCTATCAAACTCAACTGCCTTCTGAGTCTCGCAATATGAGCTTGCACCTGCAACACCAGCGAGAAGTGGAAATAATTCGTGTTAACCAAACATTTGATGTCTAATATATTTCACTATGCATTAAGAGAGCAAAAAAATAAATAAAATCTGAAACCTTCAAGTCTTATGCCTTAAAAAATATTATCGACAATATTTTAGTTAACAATAGTCTATTGGATCTTGCATACAAGCTGATATCGTGGAATATAATGGTTTTCCTCATCATTTAGGTATATTTGCTTCAACAGAAAAGCATGCAATGTCCTCAGAGATCATCCTCAGTGATCTCATGATTTAAAAGTTCATTTGATAGTAATAAAGATAAAGGTACAGGCACAGGCACATCTTTCCCCTCCTTCCCCATGCAGATAGCAAACTCATGCATCTAAACACAAGTTACGTGTAACCTAAATCATCTAATGTTATTAAATCAAACAGAAACTTATTCCATACTTAATATAATTAAAAAAAAAAAAATCCATAAAGCTGCAATTCACATGACAGGAGTAGCTGAGTAATGGCTGAACACAGAACATGCATCAACTAAACTGATTATGTACCAGGGAAAAAAATGCCAGATTGACAGGGGCTTACATCCAAATCAGAGTACACTTTCTACGCACAAGAATGATATAACAATGCAACCCCTGAAGTAGCATATATATTTCAATATCCCAAAATATGTCAAACTCATTGAACTTGCTCTAGCACATGTATTTTGCATCTAAAAAATATCAAGCCATTAAATCCATCCAACTTGAGTAACAGTGTGAGAGTATCTCTAAGAGACTCTTTAAGAATGGGATGCTGTCTATTTTAAAGAGTCAACCCTTAAAACCATGCTCTAAGAGACTCTTTAAATTAAATTTTTAATTTAGTGAGTGGGTTTGGATCTCTAAACACTCACTCTCTATAATTAAATACATTTAAAATTTTTAAATTTTCAATATAGGAAAATAATTAAATAATCTAGAAAAAAAAACCGGTTAAAATAGAAGATAGAGAAAAATATTTTTTGAGAATATTAAAATTAAGCGTTAAATGTAAAGAGCTTGTTGGAGTGCTTTAAAATTTTAACTCTTTAAATTTATAGATGCTCTTCAAGTAATAGAATATACACTTTAAAAATAAAGCGTCTTTTAGAAATGCTTTGAGTTAATAAGGCTTTATTGAGAATCCAGCAAATGGTTTCCAGCAAAATTTTCTTTTTTAAATTGCATGAGCCGTCCCTATAGTTTGACCGCATTTGCATTTCTATTCCCAAGATCGTTTTCTTGGGATTTAACTCATCAACCTTTCATTTTAGGTACTTTCATCCACTATTCACGGTTCGATCCAGCAAAACTGTCAAGATGACATGAGAAATTTACCATCAACTTTAAAAAAGTAAAAGAAAAATTAAGTATATGAGAATAAAAGACCTACTTCTGCCCCATGCCCCAATCCACACAGCCACAAATCTGTTCGAGGGTTGATTTTATGGTAGTGGCTTAGGCAAGAAAAAGATGAATCAAGTTGCAGAACACCACCATCACCAATCAATCTCTTCAATTTTCTAGGAAATGGTCTTCAAAATTGGCAGTCATGAGTTCAAAAAATGCACACCATTTAAATCCCACATCTTTGCCAACTGGAGATGACAGTAATAGTATATTCTCTCCACAAATACCAAAGACATGAGTGGAGGGTTGTTTGAATGGGATTCTGGGGGAAAATGATCAGTCTTTTCTATTCGTCTTTGGGTAAAATGCACAAACAATACCCAAACTTTTGGCCATTTTGCACTTCTATCCACAATCTCTTTCGCTTAGCATTTAGCTCCTTGATAGTCCAAATTTGATGCATTTTCACCTCCAGTTCTCATCCAGAAAAGTTGACATGAAAACGAATTTACATCTTTAACTGTAAATAAGCAAAAGAAATACGTAATATAAAAAAAAGGAAGAAAACAACAAAAACAAGAAAACCCCATCCCCCCACAGCCGCCACCCTACAATCCCCAATTTGATCTTTGAAATTTGTGCAAAGAATGCGATTATCATTGTCATCTTCGCAAGCAAAGATGTGAAGAATTTGAATAGCACAATGGTGTTCAGTATTTGTTCAACTTGTAACCTACCATTTTGAAGACCATTTCCTTGAAGAATAAAGAGATTGATTTGTGGCATGTAGTTTCATAACTTCTTTCATCTTCCACTTGTGTGTATCCATAGCCATCGCCATAAAAGTAACTTGTGTAGAGATTTGGGGTGGGGCTGCTTGTGAGGGCAAGAGGAAGAAGATAGTCTCTTTTGATTTTTCTTCTTCTCATATTTATTTATTTTGCTTATCCAAAATTGAGGGTAAATTTTTCTTTTAATTCCAGGTTTATGCTTTTGTTGGACAAAATCCGTGAGTAGGAATGAGATGCACCTCAAATTCGATGGTCGAGGAGCTAAAGGCCAGAGAAAAATATTGGGGATAGAAGTGACAAAATGGGTCAGATATTAGGGACCACGACGGCAATACACCCGTCTATTTCCCAACCAGATGAGTCATGAGAGGAATTTAGTACAGATATTGAAGCATTATAAGGTAAAACTTCGACCCTTCTTCCATCTCAACTATAAACTGTAGGTAATTTTAGTAGAAGAGTAAATTCCTATTCATGCTAACCTGCTGGCGTGCGGCAGCTAGTTTTAATAGTTCATCGGCCTCAGAGAAATTGGTGAACCACTGGTTTAGGGGATTATTTTTGGTATCACCCCTGTTCCCACTGTCAATATCCTCCATCGGCACTATAGACAAGTAAATAAAATAACAGTATAACAAAGAATAGGAAAATCATTTGATAACCAAAAAAGATAAAGAAAACATACCAGGAGGCAACAAAAAGCCACTGGGTAGTCTAGGCATAATAACGGCAGGATGATTCTGCACGCGTGCAAGGAAACCCTCTGAAGGCTCGGAAAAGACAATTTCGTCATAGGATTCCACGACAACAGGCTTCTTCATGGACATGGGACCAGACTCCTCCTCAGGGTACAACTTCAAATGGTGATACCTATAAGCAATTTCACTCTCAATCGTAACTTCTTATACAGAATATACCACAACATCAAGAAGACTATTTGATAGTGACTGCATTCATAATTGAGAAAAGTCAAACCAATCTGTATGCTAGAAGAAAAGCAGCAAAAAAAACTCATTCATGTAAACTCATAAATCTTTGACCTAATAATGCTTGGTATTGGGGCAAATAATCACATTCACATCATTCACGCCTCATGTTGAGAAAGATACATGATCTTATGCATACATACATATACGTATGGATGTAATGATAACCCCACAGAAGCATGACAAAGAAAGCAGGCTCACAAGTGCAATGGCTTTTCAGTAATGTCACTGTGGAAATGAAGGGTAATGACGATTTCAAATTCACCCCATCCAGACTCCGATAATTCAAAAGGAGGACCTTCAACAACCCTCGTGGGATTGTTAAAACTTGAATGAAGTTGGAAAACAGCTCGCTTTATCACCACTCCCAGGTCCTCATTCGTAGAGCTACGCACATAAACTGTCCATTTATGAGACTCGTACCTAGTTAAAACCCAGTAAAAAAAAAAAATAATAAAATCAAACAAGTATTTCATCAAACAGTTAATAGATGATTACAATTCCACCAACCTATAAAAATAATAAAACAAAGAAAACTTACTCGCTAGCTTTCTTGCCAAGCCAAAACGCAATGTTACCATACACAATTGGGACACAAATTTCTGAATCTTTAAGCTTCTTGCCCAAAGTCTACACATAATGAAACACATTTAACATAATTATCAAAATAATCATAAAACTTTTAGTAGGAAAGAAGTATTTTTTGCATTAATGGGCAAATTAATTTTCATATCATAATACAGTAAACGGCGAGTAAATTTAAAGCTGGAAGTGCAGACTATTTCTACCTTTTTCTCATTATCGTCTGAAGATTTAACAATTTTGGTGCGCTGTGATTTCGGTGTGGGCCCACCAATGTCCGGCTGATCTGCTCCGTGTTTCTGATTCTGAGACATTCTACAATTGTTCTTTCGAACTATAATTTGATTAAGATCCAATTGAAATTAGGGTTTTTCCAATCGAAAAGTGTACGAAATTAGGTTTTAATGGGATCCAGTGAGGGAAGGTCTACCTTTAGGTTTCAAAGGACCAACAGTAGAATATACCATTTTCTCTTTTTAAAAATAATCGTAATGGTTATCTAACTTTATATTTATTGTCATCATAGTCACTGAATTTAATTTTGTTTCACTATGGTCACCCAACTTTATGCTTAGGGTTACTATGACCACCCAATTTTTGATTTTATTTCACCATATTCACTCCATTTCATAAAATATCTCATCATGACCACACAATTTTATATAACGTTTCATCATGGCCATCCAACTTTTTTCACCATATTCACTAATTTTAAATTAGGTAAAATGGTAACTTTGTATTATATATATAGAATAAATTAAAAATAAAATAAAAATTATTAAAAAAAGTTACTTAAAAAATAAAATAAAAATAAAAATTTATTTAAAAAACCTTTTTAAAATAAAATAAAAACTTATTTAAAAAAAAGTATTCAGAAAAATAATATAAAATAAAATGTTATTTAAAAAAATAATATTAATGTATTTAAAAAAAAGTTATTTAGAAAATAAAAAAAATATTTTAAAGTAAAAAAACTTTTATTTTTTAAAAATTTATTTTCTATAATACAGTACAAAGTTATCGTTTTATTCCTTATAAAATTAGTGAAAATTGTGAAAAGAAATTGAATGGTCACAATGAAATGTTATATGAAATTACGTGGTTATAGCGAAACATTATATAAAATTGAATGATCATGGTAAAATAAAATAAAATTAGATGATCGTGGTGACACTAAGTATAAGGTTGGATGGTCATAGTGAAACAAAATCAAATTTGGTGACATGGTGACACTAACTATAAAGGTGAACGGCTATTGATGGATTTAACCCTTTAGTTCATTAAAAAACTAATGATTGGCACATATTTTAGTTAAAAGGACGACTATAACTTCACTTTCGAGCTTTGTTTGAGCCGCATTATTTGGGAAAATTACATTTTTAAATAGTGATTTGACAACATTTCAACTACACATTTTATAATAAAATAATATTATGCGCAAATTCAAGCTTTTCCTTATTTTTAAACTACATATTCTCTATCAATCTACTATTTCAAAATACATTCTTTAAAAATAATGTGGCTCAAACACATACTTAGCCCTTGTTTGAATTCCATTTTTGTCCTAAAATGCATTTTTGAATAGTGTAATGATGTGAAATGTGTAGTTAAAAAATAAGAAAAAAATTTGAATTTGCGTGTATTATTATTTTATTGAGAAATGTATGGTTAAAATTATGTCAAAATAATATTTAAAAATGCATTTTTCTAAAGAATGGACTCAAACAAGGACTTAATGATGAAAAATAGAGGATGTGAAAATTAGAGGCTGTTTGGTAGCGATTTTCACCTACCCAAAATTAATTATTCGAACGTTACCATCCACTTATCTGACAATTCTTGTGTAATGATACAGTAAACAATTTTTTTTCTTTCCCTCACAATGCCCCTCCCACTTACCACCCACTTGTTTGACAACGCATGCATGCATAAAATGGCACATAATTTTTTTTCCTTTCCTGCCACCCACTTTTCTGACAACCATGCATAAAATAAATTTTTTATTTTTCTCCCTCACAATGCCCCTCTCACCGATACTTTCTTTTTCCAACCTTTAGCTCCGAACCCGGCAACAGTGTACCTACCCGTCGAATATTTGAAGAACCCGTGCACTGTCCCTTGATCTTTCACCTTCCCATACCGTGAACACATCCCATAGCAATCATCACCAGTTCCTGTCAATTTCCAGCTGCACGACGACGCCAGAACGACACACCACCGGTGACAAACAATGGATCTACTAAGAAACAGGTACGAATACTGCAATCTCATTCCCTCCTCCACTTCCCCCTGATTTTCGTCGCCGCTGACCAACTCCTGCACTTCGCAGGCAGGACACCTTGCTAGAGGACCTTCCTACCCTGCGACAGAGACGTCACGACAGTCGACCGCAAAGTCATATGCTCGCTGTAGCCCAGATGCCAATCGAGCCTTCATTGCGACGTGCGAGACCGCCATAGCCGAGGGGCACCAGAATGGGAAGTGTTTCACCAGACACGGTTGGGAACTAGTTGGCTCACTCTTCAACTCAGTGACCGGCCATAATTGGAGCCGACAACAGCTGCGAAATCATTGGGATTCAATGCGTCAAACATACAAGCATCTATCAGAGCTTCTCAATAGCAGTGGGATCGAGTATAACGACGCTACCGGCCGAATCGTTGCTTCTGAAGAGTGGTGGAACCAGAAGATTAAGGTAATGGATTTCCAATTTCTCAACAACCCGTTTTCCTGCAAGAGCAATTAGTGCGCTCGCTTACTGCCTTTCCGGTGCCTTGCTGTGTCTTTACATTTGCATTAGACATCTGAGTCTGAAAACTGAATTGTATTGTACCAAAAAACTTTATTATAGTTCTTACTTAGCCTTTAACTCATATTCAATTTTCTCTGTTATGATGGCAAGTATTGTGAGTGTAGATGAAAACACTGCTGCATTAGGTTAATGCCCATACTAGCATCAAACGTTTGGTATTCATTATATGTCATTTTCACTGAACTTGTTTTGTCGCACAATATACAGAATGCTTTGTGCTGCTTCTAGGAATACAAATTCATGTGTGCAACCTATAAATCGAAACATTAATTTTGGCGTTGATTATTTATTGTATGACACTTTAGTATCTGAGACTTGCTTCATCATCAGTGATGGGTATACCTGTAGTTTGGTGTACAATAGTATTACTTCGTACTCAATATTAATTTTTCTCTAACAGTTGTTTGTGTTTTTCATACATAGTGAATTGCGTTTCCCTCCGGTACTCTCATTCTGAGTCCCGATTTATGCAGGAGAACGTGGTCTATAAAGACTTTAAGGACAGAGACGTCAGCGAGATATACATAAAATACCGTCAGCTATTTGGCAACAGCTATGATGCAGACAAGTACGCTATCACTCCAACGAAGTTGTGTACAACGGGATTTAGCCTGTACGAGGATAGTGCGCTCGAGGATAATAGGGATGCGATCCCGGTGGACGAGAAGAGCAGTGGTTCGAGTGACGAGGCCGAACAGACGGTGGTCTGTGTCTGCGAGAACGTTTCGAGCATCACAGGCGGCAGTAAAATGAAGTTTTCCAGCGGGCAGTGGAGGGACAGGAAAAAAAAGATGTATGCTCATGAACTGTCCTTCTCAGTAGACCGCGCCACCAGTGCGGCAGAGGAAGTGGCGGCAAAGATTCATACGATGATGATGGCAAAGATACATACGATGATGATGGCTTCAAATGAAAGCGCTGGTGCGCACTGTGTCAAGGAGTTGCTAGCGACACGCCGGCTCCAGCGGCACACACCTCTTTACTTTTACGTATGCCAGCTTCTAGCCCATAAACAGTACCGTGACATACTCGCCGTTATGAGAGACACAGACGAGAAATTTGAGTGGATCGAGTGGATGTTCAACGACTGGGGAAAGTAATTGTGGCAGTATTTGTGTGTTATTTTATTTATTTTACATTTTCGAGACCTATCTGTACACAAGTTGTTGTAATATTCTCATGCAATATTATCCACTTGTTCATTATGACTTCGAATCTGGTACATGCTGATGAATCGATTCCTGCGTTTGGTAGTCAATTAAGGCAGCACAAATAAAAAAATAACGCTTTTCCATGAACAATCTCGTGGCCTAATTGCCCTTGTTCGTCATGTTCCAAAGTTTGCCGCCACGGATGTCAAACAAATGTAAATTGAACGAATTGTACTTGAGATATATGTCTTCCTATTACTTTTCGTCGTCCAACGCCTGACCATGCTTTTTCCAAACATATTGCTAACACCTTACATTTTAACAACATTTTTGGTACACGATAAAAGTGCCTGTAACATGTGTTTGATTGCTTTTACTTTCCTGCACTTCAAGTGCTTTGATTTGTTTATATTCTTTTGCCCGTACGTTCAACAATACTAACACATTGATCCCTAATTTTATTTCACTCCGAACAAATATGTAGATTTTCACGAAATTAAATGTCTAATTAGAATTATATGTACGTAAGAAGTTACCTGGAAATTTTTTCTTTATTTTCATATTTGAAACTGGTGAATCATTGGATTCTTCTTTGGTACAGTGATTGCTCAGATGGAAGTGACTTTGCTATGTTAGTATAATAATTCAAGTTGCCTTATTTTTCAGCTTGACCATCAATGAGGGCAACAACATTAGGATGTGTGCACGATATTGTCTAGTGTTGGAGGGAGATTAGAATAATTTTGCAAACACCATTGTTCTATCAGTTTGTGCAAATGTCACATCTCTAGTTAGGCAAGATCAGATTCCACCATGCACATAGTTCCAGAGGCACTTTCCTTGGTCAAAAAATGCAGTGCCGCTGTGTGTTTGAATTGTAGGCACCAGGGAGTAGGCGCATGTGATATGGTACTGGGGATGCACAGGTTCTATAAAATCATATGTATCAAGTGGAACGGAGCAATGTGAGGAGCATTGGAGGTGCTGTAATGAGGTCACAGTGCTTGCAACTGCTTAAATCACACACGCTGTCCTTTTTACATTGTTCTAAATGTTTGGCCTTACAAATGATTATAACTTCAATTGCGTTCTGTAGCCACATTCCGAGGCTGAGGACGAAGTAAACGACGACCTTTTCCTAGCTTCTTTGGAAGCAGATGCAACAGCATGGGTTTCGTATTACGGAATCGCCGAGAGTGATGCACATGAGTACTACGGTGCGCAGCGGCGTTGTATCCGTCGATTTCCATTCGCAAGAAATATTCACATGTTCATGCTAGAGGCAACGAGCGAGAATGGACATATGTGCTTTCAAGAATTTCATATGTATTTCCTTATGCTGCGACATTTTGCACATATTTTGCGGGACGAGCACGGCCTGCGCAGTAGTCAGCAGGTTGACATCTACGAGCAAGTCAGCATGTTCCTGTGCATATTAGCGCACGAGAAGGGATATCGTCAGGTGAATACGTTATTCAACCACTCG